CGTCTTGCGCGCCTCTCGACCCGTCTGGAAGCCGTGAAGGCGTCTTGGACAGATCGTTCGGCGATTCGGGGCACTCTTGGACCTTCTTGGGGGCCTCTTACTCTTGGCGCGTCTTGGCGCTTTTTTGGGCTCTGGGACGCCCAGGGGCGGATGCGTATCGGGCTCCCCCCCAGGACCCCCCCCCCTCGGCGGGGGAGGGATCAAAGGGAAGGGCTTCCCTTCGACTTAACTACGACGTTGCTACGGTTTGCTCTCGCTGGCAGGCTTGAAGAGGAGGGTGCAGGGAAAGAGGACGACGGAGACGCAGGGAAAGAGGACAACGGATGCGTCGACTGAGCGCACGCCGACAGGGGGTCCACACGCCGACAGGGTCGACGGATTACGAGGAAGACGAATAGTAATAAGACGAAGACGAAAAGTAATACAAGCGAATACTCATCATGAAAATACTAATGACATTCCCAGTGTTATATAAGAGTAATACGAATACTAATAACATCATTCATAATACGAATCAAAAGAAGAGGAGGAGGACGATAATCATCAGAGGCAGGAGTGTGGTGTCAAGTGTCGGATGATTGGTTTCTTGCTCAGGTCAAGCCGAACAGCGCGCCGGTCAAGCTGCCAGGCAACGCGGGCGAGGCGACGATCGCGCGCATGGACAAGATCCGCAACTGCAAGGGACCGATCCCGACGGCCGTGCTGCGCACCAAGCTGCAGGTCAACATGCAGAAGTACGCGCCGGTGTACCGCAACGCTGAGGACCTGAAGACCGGCAAGGGCGTGGTTGACGAGATCATGAAAGAGTACAAGGACGGAGCGGGCAAGGGAGGGATGGGGGGGATCCGGGATCCAGTTGGCCCGCGGATGTGGACTAAGAGCGTCCTCGAGTATCGGGTTCTGGAATGCTGAACGCTCTGAACGCGTTGCCATGCCCCGTCGGCCCTCGGAGTTCTGGGGCCCAGGAAAGTGGATGGCAGCGGCTGCGAGGGAGGCAAGGGGACGAGGAGCGGGAGCGACGGGGCGAGGGAGCGGGAGGACGTGGGCATCACCGATCGCAGCATGATCTGGAACACCGACCTCATCGAGACCCTGGAGCTCGAGAACCTGATCAACCAGGCCGCCCAGGACCCCCAGTGCCTCCTTCTCATTTCTGCCTGGTCCCTCTTCCCTCCTCTCGCGTCTCGCCCCGGGGACAGCCCGATACGGCTCCCTACCCTCCCCTGCTTTGGAGGGGTCCCCAGGCATTGGGGTTGCCCTCCACCGCGCGCACCAGGCCCTCAAGGAGGGGGAGGAGGAGGAAGGGGAGGAGGAGGAGGAGGAGGAGGAGGAGGAGGAGGAGGAGGAGGAGGAGGAGGAGGAGGAGGAGGAGGAGGAGGCGGAGGAGGAGGAGGAGGAGGAGGAGGAGGAGGAGGAGGAGGAGGAGGGATGATGATGATGATGAGGAGGAGGAGGAGGAGGCGGAGGAAGAGGAGGAGGAGGAGGAGGAGGAGAGGAGGAGGGGGAGGAGGAGGATGGCAGGCAGAGAGCCGGAAGGCGGAGGAGACGGGGGTGGGGGCCGGAATCTGATCCCCCCCCCTCGCATGCCCCCCGGGGGCGAGGAGAGCGGGGAAGGAGGGGGGGCACAGCAAGGGAGAGGCGGCCGACAGGCGCAGGTACGGAGAATAGCGCAACGAATACTCATAATATTCATACTGGCCATAGACTGATACTGAGAAGGGTCAGCATACTAATACGAATTAAGAATAATACGAATGGTGTGAATATCCATATTCAGAACATTACTACGAAGAAGACTTCTAATCATGCTTTTAACAGAAGGGCAAGACGTCTAAAACGACGAGTACGAACAATTTGAACAGTCATACGGTTAATCATGAGGACAACGAGCGTAATTTTGTCTACTACTGCTACTACTGCTACTACTGCTACTACTGCTACTACTGCTACTACTACTACTACTACTACTACTACTACTACTACTACTACTACTACTACTACTACGGCTACTACTACTACTACTACTACTACTGCTACTACTACTACTACTACTACTACTACTGCTACTGCTACTGCTACTGCTACTGCTACTACTACTACTACTACTACTACTACGACTACTACTACTACGACTACTACTACTACGATGAATCAAACGATCTTACGGACAGTAGTCATAATGCGACGGGTACCACGAATATTGCGAACACGAATGCTACCAACATTGCTAATGATGAGAAAAGACGAAGAAGAACCATACCAGTAACAACAGACATGCCACAACGAAAAAATAGACGAATAAGCAGACGAAGACGCATAAGAAATTGAGTCATAATAACTATAGTGGTACAAATACGAATATTTCGAGTAATACGAAAAGGAGGAGGAGTATGAAAACCAACAGTTGTCCCTGTCCATTTTGAACAGGCCTCGTTGTCGGTGTCGCCACGGGCATTGTCCGACAGCGGCCGCTGCCGGTTAAGGACGACGCTCGACGTTGGGCATCGCACCCATCGGGCGTCCAAGCCCGTTTCCTCTTCTCCCTACAGTCGGCGCGCCTGGTACGGACGCTCGCCTTCATCTAGGGTGTCTTTGTGTCCCTGCCTCTGCTGCCCGTCCCTTGTCGCTTTCACTGGTCGCCCGCTGCGTTCACAGTCCCAGCTTCGGCCTCCAAGGGCCTTGTGTCCTTTACCACCCGTCATTGATCTGGGGGCGAGCCCGGGGGAAAGTGAGAAGGGGCGGGCCTTCTCGGAAGGGCCCGGAAGTCCCCCGTCTTTCTCAGAGAAGCTTTCGAGGCCTTCCCCGAAGACACAAGCAAGACTTCACCAGAAGGCGCGAGGTCTTCTGAGAAGTCCCGCCGCCTTCTGATAAGGCCTTCTCCTTCTCACTTCCTGCCGCCGAGTTCAGTTTTCGGATCATAACTCGGATGTCCGGCGGCCGTTCGGGACGATCTGGGCTTCCCTCAGAACGCCCTCGGCGAGGCGCAGCCGCTGGAATGCACCCCGAGGGCCGCAAACCGCCAAGAGACTACGAACACGCCCGAAAACCCAGAACCTCGAGGTTCGAACCTCGAAGTTCCTCCCCCTCCCTCGCCGCCGATTCATGCACGTCAGTGGCTGTCTTCGCCGTGGGCAGCGCGCCGTCGCGCTGTCGCAGGCGCTGGCGGGGCCAGGGTGGACGGGCGCCGACGCGGGGGCAGACGGCCGTCGCCCATGGGCCACCCCCCCAACGGCGCAGGAGGAGGAAGGGGAACGAGGAGGAAGGAGGAGGAGAAGGAGGAGGAGGAGAAGGAGGAGGAGGAGGAGGAGGAGGAGGAGGAGGAGGAGGAGACGGACGAGGAGGAGGAGGACGAGGAGGAGGAGGAGGAGGAGGAGGACGAGGAGGCCCACTTCAGGCCCCGTGGGGATGGCGGCCGCTCAGGGGCCAGGAAACAGCGTGCGGCGCAGAGCCGAGCCTCCGCATGCGGGGCGGAAGCCAAGTCTTCGCGGAACCGAGCATTTTCCGCGCGCCCGATGGCGGGTATGACCATTGTTATCCCACCCCCTCCTTCCCTTCCCCTCCCCATCCTGCCATGCTCCTTCTCCCCTGCCCCCTCCTCGTCCTCCCGCCTCCCTCTCTCTTGGCAGCCGTCGGGGCGCCGCCTGGCCAGGGCCACTTCCAGCGCGCCCGATGGCATGTGCATCAAGTCACCCCCGCAGAGTTGGAAAAGGTATGCCGATGGCGCTACCATTCCCCAGCTTTTGATTTTAGGGCCTCTTGGGAGGCCCTCGTCGCCACCGCCGGACTCGCCTCGAAATCCTGACCTGAGTGCACCCCACGAGAGGTCTGGTGTTCGCGGCGGTGCTAGTGCCTTCTGGCTTGCCCCAGAGGTCCGCGTGCTGGTTGGTGGGAAACCCTCCCTCTGGAGTAGACCCACTGGTATTCTTAACGCTTCGCGTATCCCCACCAGCGCTCTAGTCTGCTCCTGTTGTCAATTAGTGGGCCCGCGCCCCGGACTTACGACTCGCCGCTTGCGCTCTCGCCTGCGGCCGCGACCAAAAAAAAGTATCCCCACCAGCCCATTCGGAAGCCCTGCCCATGAGAGTTGACGGGAAAAGGGACGAAAAGACACATCTAGGGAACCAAGCGAGCAACCAGGGTGAACCGATAGATCTCTGGGAGCAAGAGGGTGGTCTTGGAAGGCCTTTTCGGGCCATCCCTGGGGGCCGCGTGGGGGCGAGGGGAAGAGGAGTAGGAGCAGGAGGATGATGAGGACGAGGAGGAATAGGAGGACGAGGACGCAGAAGAGGACGGGGACGAGGAGGACGAGGACTAGGATGAGGACGACGCGGACGAGGACTCATGGAACCATCGAGAGGTATTATTGCGGCTGCTGCTGCTGCCATTGCTCTGTGGGAGTTTTTTGGGCCCTCTTGGAACCCTCGTGGTAACCCTGGAAGGCTTCTTGGGATCCTCTTGGAGGCCATCGATTTCAGGATGGGGGGCTCCCCAACTCAGCTCCCCCCTCAGGAGCCGGCAACCCGCTTCTTTGGGGTCTTTTGGAGCGCTCTTGGACGCTCTTGGAGCGGTCTTGGGGCCGTTTGGAGCATTTTGGGAGGCATCTTGAGCCAGCTTGGGCTATCTGGGCCATCTTGGAGGTCATCTTGGGCTCGCTGAGGCCGCTCGGGTGCCTCTTGGGGGCCTCTCGGGTGCCTCTTGGGGCTCTCTTGGGACCCTCTTGGAGCCCTCTTGGGGCTCTCGCCTCTTGGGGCCATCTTCGAGGCCATCGATCAAAGGAAGGAGGGAGGTGCCTGATCGAGGTCCCCCCCTTGGGGGCCACGATCCTCGTGAGGGGTGTCAAAATTTGCCCTCCCAGGGGCCGAAAAAGGGCCCTCCGACCACCCGCGCCCCCCCCCCAAAAAGTCCAGTGGAGGGGGTAGGGGTAGGGGTGAGCCCCTCCCCGAAGGGGAAGAGGGGTTTTTGGACGAGGACAGACATGAGATCGTTGGACCACCTGTACGCCCAGAGGGCTGGTGGGAGATCCTCGGGCTGCCCCTCGCTGTCGCGTGGGTGACGCAGGTGCCCCGTCGGTCACCCCCGGTGGCGCGGCTGCGCTGTCCGAGGGCCGAGGCCAGCGCGGGCGCCCGCGAGGGCCCCGCCGTGGGGGGGGACGGGGGCTGGCGCAGGCAGGGCCCGAGCGCCAGAGAGGCAGGCGACCGCAGGCATGGATTTGGGTCAGGAGGGGAAAAAACACACAGACACAATTAATCTTCGATTCCCCAGAAAATACAGGAAAATATGGGAAGTGGGGGGGAAGTCAAAAACCGAGAAAACATGGGGAAATATGGGACATCTTTTTATTTGTGTGTATTTATTTGTGTGTCCTGGGGCCCCTTCACCAGGGGGGCGTGAACTGCAGTCGGGGCGCTGAGGAAGGAACCCTTTTGCGTTGGGGAGTGGCTCTGTGTTCCTTCATTGCTTCGCAGTTTGCCTTGGGTTGTCCTTCGGTTTTCTCTGGGAGATCGAAGCTTCACTTATGGAAGACAGGGGGCCTCGTTCCTGATTTAGGGTTCCTGAAGTCAACGCCCCGACTGTAGCGACGGGTCCCGTCTCCATGGGAGATCGCGGATTTCCGCCGCCGAGCCAAGCGGCCCTGGCCGCATTTTGGGGGAGGGCACCTCCCCCGATCCGTCGAGTCGGCGGCCACGCGCCGAATCCATGGGCATCGCTGATCCATGTTTGTGCGAGACGTCGTGAGCGACCCCTCCCCCCCAGAAGGCGACCTCCCAGAAGGGCAGGAATGCGCGTTCCGAAGCGGTGCCGCCCACGCCGACGCGAGGGAGCCCCGGGCCCACCCAGGCTGCTCGATCGATCGGTGCTCCTCCTCCTCCCTACCCCCTCCACCGGCAGCCCCCTCAGGAGATCCACTCCGCGGAGGCGCGCCAGGAGTCCCGGGGCGCGCACGCCCACGAGACCTTCCCCGAGCGCGACGACGTCAACTGGATGAAGCACACGCTCTCCTTCCTGGACAAGCCCTACGTCGAGGAGACCCGGTCCTCGTCCTGCTCCCGCCGCTGTCGTTCCTGCTGCTCCTGATCCCGCCCCTGCTGCTGCTGCTGCTGTTGCTGCTGCTGCTCCTCCTCCCCCGCGCACGCCGACTCCCGAGGGGAGGAGGAGGAGGAGGAGGAGGAGGAGGAGGAGGAGGAGGAGGAGGAGGAGGAGGAGGAATGATGATGATGATGATGATGATGATGATGATGATGATGATGATGATGATGATGATGATGATGATGATGATGATGATGAAGATGATGATGCTGACGCTGTTGGTGATGATAATGCTGATGAGGATGCTGATATTGCTGATCATGATGATAGTGATGATGAGACTGATGGTGGTGATGGTGGTGACAATGATGATGTTGATGATGATTATGATGATGATGACGATGATGCTGATGAGGCTGATTATGCTGATGATGCTGCTGATGATGACGATGATTACGATGATGATGATGCTGATAATGATGATGATGATGATGATGATGATGATGATGATGGTGATGATGATGAAGATACTGAGGATGGTGATGATGTTGCTGATAAGGATTATGACGGTGGTGATGATGATGGTGATGGGCATCGTGATGGTGATGGTCATGCCGACAATGATGCTGTTGATGATGATGATGACAATGTTGTTGCTGATGAGGATGCCGATGACGATAATGCTGATGATGGTGGATGATGATGACGATGACGAAGCTGCTGTTGATGATGCTGCTGATGATAATGATGCTGCTGCTGATGCTGATGATGCTGCTGCTGATGATGATGATTATACTGATGATGATGGTGATGATGATGCTGAGGCGGAGGCGGAGGCGGAGGAGGAGGATGCTGATGATCATGTTGATGATGATGCTGCTGCTGATGATGATGATGACGATGATGATGATGATGATGATGATGATGATGCGGATGACTATGGTTGTTGATGCTAATGATGATGCTGATTATGGTGATGATGCTGATTCTGGTGATGGTGCTGATGCTGATAATGCTGATGACGATGATGCTGCTGCTTTTGACGATGATGAGGATGATGGTGCTGGTGGTGATGATGATGTTGTTGATGATGATTATGACAATGATAATGGTGATGCTGACGATGATGCTGATATTGCTGATGCTGCTGATGATGTCGATGCTGATGACGATGCCGATGCTCATGATGATGATGCCGATGATGATGATGCTGATGGCGCTGATGATGCTGATCGTGATGATCGGGATGATGATGCTGATGCTGCTGATGATGATGTTGGTGATGATGACGATGATGATGATGATGAGGATGATGGTGGTGGTGATTATGATGATGATGCTGATGATGATGCTGGAGAAGAAAATGATGCTGACGATGATGGTGATGATGATGTTGTTGATGATGAGGATGCTGATGGTGGTATGATTATGATGCTGCTGATGATGATGCTGATGAACACGACTATGATGATTATGATGATGATGATGATGATGATGATGATGATGGTGATGATGATGCAGATGATGCTGATGATGATAATGATGATGATGATGATGATGCTGAGGACGATGATGATGATACTGGTGATGATGAGGATGCTGATGATGAATCATATGCTGATGCTGACGATGGTGATAGCTGTGATGATGCTGATGATGCTGACGATGACACTGACGATGACGATGACGATGATGATGATGATGATGATGATGATGATGATGATGATGATGATGATGATGATGATGATGCTGATGATGATGATGATGAAGATGGTGATGATGATGATGATGATGATGATGATGATGATGATGATGATGATGATGATGATGATGATGATGCAGATGCTGATGCTGATGCTGATGCTGATGCTGATGCTGATGCTGATGCTGATGAGGATGAGGATGAGGATGAGGAGGAGGTGGAGGAGGAGAAGGAGGAGGAGCTACCCATCCGGAGGAGGACGGCGTCCGAGGGTGCCACCACGGGGTGCCGGGGTCCGCTCCACTGCCACGCGGGAGATTGGCCAACCCAGGACCCCTCCGACCGCCTCCGCGGTGACGAAGGCCACGTCCTCGAGCGTGGCTCCACGTCGCCCTACCGAGCTCAAATAGAGGCCCCAGATGTCCCGGGCGCAAGCCTCGCGTGTCCCCAGCACTCCACCTACAGTCGACCCGCACAGGGCTCGTTTCGATTCCTCTGATCCGATCCATTCGATTTCGATGGTTTCCGATTCTGGTCAGATTCGACTTCGGATTTCGATCTGGATTCCGTTTTCTCAATGGACGCCTACTATTCTGCCGATTTCCGCCGATTCGATTTCTCCCGACTTGGCTGCCGATTTCCGCCGATCCGATTCATTTCGATCGCCGATCCGACTTACCGATTCGATTCTAAAGATGTGCAAGCTTCCCAAGGCTACCCTTGCATCCTTGCCCCTTCGGACCATCCTCAGCGACTTTCCTTGGACAGCCTCGTTCGAAAAACGCTCACATTGGCTTTCAGGGCCCTTGCATCCTTTCCGCGCATCCTTCTGGATTACGGGTTGACTGTAGCCCCGCTTGGGTGCCGCGAAGCAGGCCTCGTGGTGCCCCAGATCCACGTCGCCCGTGCCCACCACGTCCTGGGCCGTGCCCCGGGCCACCCGGGGAAGGTCGCGTGGGGGCCATCGATCGGCCGCCCCCCTGGCCTGGCACGGCCTGCGCCTCCTTGGAGCTCGTCCTCCTCCACCGTGCGGCGCCCAGCTGGGGCCAAGGAGAAGCGACACCAACACCACCAGGGGGCCACCTCCAGCGAGGAGGTCCACGATGCCTCTCCGAGCCAGGGATAGGAGTTGTCCCGAGCGAGAGGGGGGACCACACCACCAGGGGACCCCTCCCTGGCTCCTCCCGCTTGTGGTCCCTGGTGGTGTTGGTGTCGGTTTTCCATGTTCCTACCCAGCGCCCATGTGCCGCTTCCCCGGCCCGAGCCGTGCACACACGCGGAGCTGCCACCCCGCACCCACGGCATCCACGGTGGCGGCGCGAGTGAGGCGCAGAGCCCTTGCTCTGGGGCGTCGGCGTCGTCGTCGTCGTCGTCGTCGTCGGCGTCGGCGTCGGCGTCGGCGGCGTCGGCGTCGGCGTCGGCGTCAGCGTCGGCGTCGTCGTCGTCGTCGTCGTCGTCGTCGTCATCGCGCGCGCGTCCTGGAAACGGGGACGCCGTGCCACCAGTGATGAGCTGCGACAGCGCCTCGGCCATCTCCACGGCATGCGACTCGCAGGAGCGGACGTTCTCCTCGGGTGTGTACTCGCCCTTGACCTCCGAGTCAGGGGTAGGCTGCAGCCCGCCGAGAGTTTCTACTCATCACCACCGCCTCTGCGCCGCAGATTTCCGGGGAGCCTCGGGAATCCCCAGGGGCGGTGCCATCCCCCACGGCAGCACCGCCACCCACGTCATGCCGACGAGGGCTGGACAGCCCCAGATGGCCACCAGCATGGTGCACTTGAGGAGGCTGCTGCACTCCAACACTCGGCGGCGAGCGATGGGTGGAGATGGGAAGGAGAAGGCCTTCTCAGAAAGCTCGGAAATCCACTGGACTTCTGAAAAGTTTTCTAAGCCTTCCCCGAAGGCACAGAAGACTTCTCAAAATGCGCGAGCGCTTCTCAGAAGCACCGCCGCCTTCTGAGAAGGCCTTCTCCTTCTCACTTCCCCCCTCGCAAGCCGCCGAGTTCAGTTTTCGGGTCATAGCTCGGATCTCCGGCGGTCGTCGGGACGATCTGGCCCCCCCCCCAGAACGCCATCGATGTTCGAACTTCGAAGTTCCCCCCCTCGCTCGCCGCCGAAACAACCGTCGACGCCAGCGGGCCGGGCAGAAGGCGGCGCCGCCGCCATGTCGGCGGCGTCCGGCAGGAACGCGCCGCTGGTGGGGCGGCCCAGGCGGCACTCGGGGGCTTTCTGCGCGGCGCCGAGCCGGGGAGAGCTCCCGAGCCCGCGGTGGCTGCGCGCGAACTGACTGGGGGCGATCGACCTGGACCCCCCCTGGCTCGCCGCCGAAACACCCGCCGACGCCAGCGGGCTGGGCAGAGGGCAGGTCGCCGCCATGTCGGCGGCATCTGGCAGAGGCGCGCCGCTGGTGGGGGCGGGCTGGCCAGGCAGCACTGGGCGGGCTCCGCGCGGCGCGTCGCGCCGGGAGAGCCTCTGAGTCTGCTGTGGCCGCGCGCGAATTGAGCCGACCACGCGCAGCGGGGGGGTAGGGGGAGGGGGGAGGGCTTCTTGGAGGGCGCGGATGTAGGGCCGGCGCCTTCTAAGGAGCAGCCTCCTCCTACGAAGCCGTCCCCCTCCCCCTACTCTACCCCCCTGTGCGCGCCGCCATGGAAGGGACGGGCGACGCACCCAGACCCCCCTCGCGCTGTGACAAAAATCACGTTTTTTTTTTTTTTTGTTTTGTTTTTCTGTTTTCGGCGGCCGCCCACGGCCCTTCAGGGCCCCAGGACCGTCAAAACATTACGTAGGATGAACAAAAACCGGTCCCGGGGAAGGGGTCCAAACCTTTGGGGGTCGACGCTGTGAAAAAGTCAAGTCGTCGGGGGTCTGGGAGTGTCGGGGGGGCGATCGGCCTCCTAGATGGGGTCGGAGGACATGGGGTCGGAGGATCGCGCCGCATCGCCGATGCTTCGCCGATGCGGCTCGATGTGGAGCACGATTTGCCTCATGCAGACCGCGCCGATACATCGCCGGCGTCGCCGATGCATCGGCGATGCGGCGCGATCCTCCGACCTCATCTGCTCGAACCCCATATAGGAGGCCTCGAATTGATGCGGTGCGATTCATGTGTGGGGGGGAGAGTGGTGCACTGCTCGGGCGCCAAAGGCCCCCTTCTGGGCCCCAAAAGGGCCCCCTTGAGGGACCCGCAAGGGCCCCTCTTCGGCAGCCCTCGCTGCCCCCCCCCAACCATTGCCCCCGCCATTTGTCGCCGCCCAAGGCGGCGGCCGATCTCCACGAAAGACTTGAGGAGGTGGAGGGTCGCGTGGCCCTGAGCACGCGCCGCCCTGCGCACGGCGCTCGGCAGCCGTCGGATTGAAGGCAGCGCGGCCGCCGCCCAGTACCCGGACTCCTCCCCTCGGACGGAGGGCGCGGCCGCGCGCGCGCGGAGGAAGAAGGGTCGGATCTGGCCAGGACGCGGCTCAATCCGTTCCAGAGCGTTCCAGAACCTTCTCAGAGCGTGCCGGAACGCTCTGAGAGTGTTCTGGCGGCGCCCGAGACATCCTCCAGAGCCGCCGGAGGAGGAGAAGCAGGAGGAGGAGGAGCAGGAGCAGGAGGAGGAGGAGGAGGAGGAGGAGGAGGAGGAGGAGGAGGAGGAGGAGGAGGGGGAGGAGGAGGAGGCTCGAGGAGGAGGAGGCTCGAGGAGGAGGAGGGGAGTTCAGAGATTCTCTGCATCTCGCTATCCTCGTCCTGGCTTTGTGTCAGAGGAGGGCGCGCGGCCTATGGCGGCGCCCGCGAGCGCCGTTGGCGCAGGCTTCGGAAGCCGGAGCGCTGGAGGAGGAGGAGCAGGAGGAGGCGGAGGAGGACGAGGAGGCGGCGGAGGAGGAGCAGGAGGTTGCAGATCGTCCAATCGCCATCGGCGAGAGGAGTGACATGAGACGTCGGACCGCTCCCTCTCCCTCTCTCTTTTTTCTTCATCTCTCCCTCTCGCTCTTTCTCTCTACCTCCCTCGGAGGAGGAGAACGGCGAGGCGGAGGAGGAGCAGGAGGATGATGATGAGGAGGAGGAGGAGGAAAAGGAGGATGCAGGAGGAAGAGGAGGAGGTGGATGATGATGATGATGATGATGATGATGATGATGATGATGATGATGATGATGATGATGATGATGATGCTGATGATGATTATGATGATGATGATGATGATGATGATGATGATGATGATGATGATGATGATGATGATGATGATGATGATGATGATGATGATGATGATGATGATGATGATGATGATGATGATGATGATGATGATGATGATGATGATGATGATGATGATGATGATGATGCTGATGATGATGATGATGATGAGGAGGAGGAGGAGGAGGAGGAGGAGGAGGAGGAGGAGTATAATGAGAAGGAGGAGGACCAACGTAAACACAAGAGTCATCAATGATGTTGGAATAACCCTCAAACCTCACCTTTCATAGGCCCCTACAACCTTTCATTTCCACTGAGGGAACTGCCTCGTTGGAAGACAACCGTTTGAAGACCCTGAAGCATGCCAAAACATTATTCTCGGGACTCCAACGCCACGGATCAACCTGACTGTTGCGTCTTGACGATCTTGACTCGTGTCAGTAGCCATTCATGTGACTTCAACACCGCACATCAACGTAACTGTTGCGCCTTTATAATCCTACATTTCTCCGAAACACCATCTCTGGTACGTTGATCAAGGGAATCCGTGAAGCTCGTGCACATTCTGAAAACGAATGTGCGCGGCTCCAAAGCGAGAGCCACATGCTGAAAAGGAACCGCCCTCAATCCATGAAGCTTTTGCGCATTTTGTTAAAACGAGTGTTCGCGGCGCTAGGGCGAGAGCCACATTTTGAAAACGGCCCGCCCTCAATCCGTGAAGCTCTTGCGTTTTAACAATGAATGTGCGCGGCGCTATGGCGAGAGGCACATTTTGAGAACGACCCACCCTCAATCCGTGAAACTCTTGCGCATTTTTGAGACGAATTTTGCGCGGCGCTAAGGCGAGAGCCACATTTTGAAAACAACCCGCCCCCAATCCGTGAAATTCTTGCAGTTTTTGGAAACGAATGTGCGCGGCGCTAAGGCGAGGGCCACATGTTGAAAACAACCCGCCCTCCATCTGTTGAGCTGTTGCCACTTTTAAGCTTAAGGGTAAGGGTTATGATTGGTGAGGACGTCTCAGGCGAAACGCCCGGCCCGCCCTGAAAACAGGCCTCGGGTGCGGCAGGAGGAGTTATTAATAAGAAAAGGAATGAATGGAGGAGGATGAGGAGGACGAGGAAGTGGAGGAGGAGGAGGAGGAGGAGGAGGAGGAGGAGGAGGAGGAGGAGGAGAGATCAACAGCCACTGGAGGGTGGGGGAGGAGAAGAAGGCGTGGGAGGCGGCGGTCATATGGCCTCCTCCAGGGGGGCGCGGTCAGGACGCCAAGGTGGTGCTGAAGTACCGCGGGGTCATCGACCAGCCGCTCGACAAGGAGATGCACCACGTGCCTCCGGCGAAGCGCGTCTACTGAGGGGCCCCTCCTCGGGGCCCCCCTCTGCCCCCCCCCCCTCGTCCGGATCTCTCCGAGGGGCCGCTGGAGGGCCGAGCTGCGACCCGAAAGCCAGGGGGGCAACGCTGGGGTGGACATGTGTGCTCCGGGGGGATCTTGGCACCGCTCGGACGTGTGCATTTTTCTTCCCGGCGAGAACCATCGAGGGCCGTCCTGGAGCATCGAGCAAAAAAATCACACGCACGAAATCGACAAGTGCACGGGAAATGGACCTCCGAGCGACGGCAAGCGGATGCCCGGTCATCGCCAGGTCATCGCCGGCGGGGGGCCCTGGAGCTGGCCCCGCCCAGGAGGAGCGTGCGGCGTCGCCAGGGGGCGGCCGCCCGCCGCGTGGGGCTTGATGCCTCCCCCCGCGAGCCGCTTCCAGTCCCTCGAAGTAAGAGAAGTAGTAGTAGTAGTAGTAGTAGTAGTAGTAGTAGTAGTAGTAGTAGTAGTAGTAGTAGTAGTAGTAGTAGTAGTAGTAGTAGCAGTAGTAGTAGTAGTAGTAGTAGTAGTAGTAGTAGTAGTAGTAGTAGTAGTAGTAGTGTAGTAGTGGTGGTGGTGGTGTAGTAGTAGTAGTAGTAGTAGTAGTAGTAGTAGTAGTTAGTAGTAGTAGCAGTAGCAGCAGTAGCAGTAGTAGTAGCAGTAGTAGTGTAGTAGTCGTAGTCGTAGTCGTAGTCGTAGTCGTAGTCGTAGTCGTAGTCGTAGTCGTAGTCGTAGTCGTCGTAGTCGTAGTCGTAGTCGTAGTCGTAGTCGTAGTCGTAGTCGTAGTCGTAGTCGTAGTCGTAGTCGTAGTCGTAGTCGTAGTCGTAGTCGTAGTCGTAGTCGTAGTCGTAGTCGTAGTGTAGTCGTAGTAGTAGTAGTAGTTAGTAGTAGTAGTAGTTGTAGTAGTAGTAGTAGTAGTAGTAGTAGGAGTAGGAGGAGGTGGAGGAGGAGGAGGAGGAGGAGGAGGAGGAGGGAGAGGAGGAAGAGGAGGAGGAGGGGGAGGAGACGACGTGCCAGGGCTGGACCTAAACGGCGTTTTGGCGATCTCGTGGGCCGTTTTCGTTTCGACTTCGTTCTGCGGTAGAGGCGGATGGAAGACAAAACGAGGGACAACGAGAACGAAAAAGAAAACGAAAAACACCGTTTAGGTTCAGCCCTGCGTTGTGCTCGTGCTCGCAGCGTGGACCCCCCGAGGGCTCGCCCCATTCCCCGGGACTCGCTTTCTCATCCCGAGTCCTTGTGTTGGCCGGTCCGGGGGGTCCCGCCGAGGGCCCCCCCGGGGGCCGGGTACAGAAGGAGCCGTCCGCCCCGCAGTGTGTTTCGGAGGTGGATAGATCTCCTACAGTCGATCCGCAGAGTAAGGGTAGGCATCCCTCCCAAGGGTACCCTTGCATCCTTGCTTCCTGGGTCCAGCCTTGGACACTTTCGTTGGCCGCGCCCCGCTCGAAACGCTTCGAAATGGGCGGCCAAGGGCCTTGCATCCTTATCGCGCATCCTTACTCTGCGGGTTGACTGTACCCTGACACGTCGATTCAGGACTTGGCCGTTTTCGGTTCGCGAGAGGGCGTCGCGGCCGTCATTTTTGCGGGTTCAGGTCCGTCGGTTTCGGTCCCAGGCCGTTTTCATTACGGGGAGGTTTACTGAAAGGGAGGTTTGTCCACCGCCGAGTGTTCTCGGCGCGACAGGGTCCGCTCCTATGGTTAAGTCGGGCACGTCCCTCTACAGGAGGACCATCAAAAAACAGTCAAAGAAACGTCTGGGGACGAATGTTCCATTATTCTATCACCACTTTGAGGTCTTTTGGGGGTATTTTCCCTTCGTCGCCCAACATCCGCCTGCAGGGGGACATGCCCGACCTGATCCTACCGTTGACCCTCGCTCGGCCAGCAGTCCTCGGGCCCTCCTCGGTCAAGAGTTCCAGGCGCCCGCCGGGCGCGCGAGGCGCGCCCGAGCGCCTGGGGGTCTCTGCCGAGAGCGCCCGCGTGGGGGCCCGTGGAGCAGCGCCCCGCCCGTTCCAGCTCCTGCCTGCTGCTCCTCCTCGGGGGATCGGAGTGGTCGGACGCCCCCCCCTCTTGGACGCCCCCGCTCTTTCGACGCCCCCCTCTTGGACGCCCCCCTCTTTGGACGCCCCCCTCTTGGACGCCCCCCTCTTTGGACGCCCCCCTCTTGGACGCCCCCCTCTCTGGACGCCCCCGCGGGAGGGGGCAGGCAAAGGAGCCCCCCCCGAGAGCCGCGCGGAAGGCGCGCCGACGGGGACCTTGGGCAGACGGCGCGGGCTCCCGCAGACTGCTCGAGCGGCCCCCAGCCTTCAGGGGCTTTCGGAGCTGTCTCCGCGAAGGATGCCGCCCAGATGGGGTCCGAGTGTAGAGGGGATCGGAGGGTCGCGCCGCAGTGCCGAGGCATCGCGGATGCGGCTCGGTGTGGAGCCCGATGTTCTCCATGTCGGATGTTCTCCATGTCCAGCCTGGCGTGGCCCCTCTCTCCTGTCCTGCCTTTGCCTCTCTGCCTCTCTCTCCTTGCCTTTGGCTCAGGGCCGCTTGCGGCCTCTGCACCATGCATCGCCGACGTCGACGTCGCATCGCGCATGTGTCGCCGATGCATCGGCGATGCATCGGCGATGCGTCGGCGATGTGGCGTGGTCTTCCGACCCCATCTACTCCGACCCCATCTGGGGGGCCTCAAACTCTGGGGGATCGAAATGGGTACATGAGACATGGTGACCGATACCGACAGAAACTTCTGTCCATTCTGGACAGGACCCGCTGTCGGCGTCGCCGCGGACGTTGTCCACTCGGGACAGACGGTCGCCTGCCCAACAGCGGCCGCTGTTGGTTTCGGAAGCGTCTGTTGTCGGGCAGCGTGCCCATGTTTTCCGTACCCATTCCGGGCGTCCAAGTCCTCTTCCGTCTCTTCCTCGTCCTCCCTCTCGAAGTTTTTGATGCCTTTTCTGTGCTCACTGGCGCCGCAGCGTAACGGGCGTCATTTTGCGACACCGCCGCAGCCCCTCCCAGGGCTGGTTCGCGTCGTGCCGACGCGGCGGCGACCCCGCCGCGGGCGTTCGAGGTTGAATGCCGCTTGCGGTCCAGGATCGCCCAATCTGAAACGATCTGGTGATCGAAAATCGACAAGCAGCCGATCGAGCCGATCGTTCAAGGAATTGTCGAAGACGCCTACGGCGAACCAACGCCGCCCCCCGCCTTTCAGGATATGCCCATGTGGCCGAACGTTTGGGCCAAGTTCAGCCACGCTATTTGACAATGCGTTTCCCCAGCCGTCGTGGAAGCCATCCGGGGGACGCGTGGGGAAGGAAGGAGAGGAGGAGAGGAAAGCGGAGGGTGAGGAGACGGATGCGACCTATTGGGAGCTTACTTGGGCACTTTTGGGGCCTCCTGGGAGCTTCCTGAGGGCCTCTTGGAGGCCTCTTGGGGGCCTCCTTGGGCTACTGGAGGTCTTAGAGGGCTTCTTGGTGGCCTCTTTCGCAGTCTTAATGCGTTTCTGGCCCGTCTGACGCCGTCGAAAGCCGTCTCGGGAGCCTCGCTTGGCCGTCTTGGGGCCGTCTTGGGGCGTTTCAGGGCCGCCTTGGAGTCCATCTTGGGCGTCTTGAAGGCCTCTGGGACCGTCTAGAGGCCCTCTTGGGGCTGTCTTGGGGGCCTCTTGTGCCGTCCTGGGGCTATCTTGGAGGCCTCTTGGGCGCTCTTGGGGCGATCTTGATGGCCTCTTGGGCCGTGAGGGGCCGTCGGAAGCCGGAAACGGAGCAACAGCAACCTAAAACACATCAATGGTGTTGGCCTCCTCGGGCCTTCTTGGAGCTCCTCTTAGAGACGTCTTGGGCAGTTTTGAAGGTCTCCTGGGGTCTTGTTGGGCCGTCTTGGACCATCTTGATGCCATCTTAGGCCGTCCTGGGTGCATCTTGGGCCGCCTTGAAAACATCTTGGCGCCATCTGGGGCTCTCTTGGGGCCTTCTTGCTTGGCAGTCTTTGATGCGGCCTGGGACCATCTTGGGGGCCATCTGGGGCCATCTTGGCCGTCTTGGAGGTGGCTTGACCAACGAGGGGGGGGTTGTGGAGCTTTCCGGCTGGCCAGCGGGTCGGGCCGAAGCCCTAGTGATAGTTCTTCAGAAAGGAACCAACACCATGCCACATGGGGTACAGGTCGTGCGCCACGCGGCCATGCCATGCCGTGCGCCCGTGCCACATGGGGCGGCGGATCGAAGACGCCTACGGCGAATCATCGCCGCCCCCCTGCCTTTTAGGGTACGTCTACGTGGCGAAGCGTTTGGGCTACGTTTGGCCACGCTATTGGACCATGCGCTTCCTCAGCCGTTGTGACGGCCATTCGGGGGACACGTGGGGGAGGAGGAAGAGGAGGAGGATGAGGAGGATGAGGAGGATGAGGAGGATGAGGAGGATGAGGAGATGAAAACGGAGGATGAGGAGAATGCTTTGGGGATGAGGAGACTTCTTGGGAGCTTATTGGGGCACTCTTGCCGCCTCCTGGGAGCTTCCCGAGGGCCTCTTGGAGGCCTCTTGGGGGGTCTCCTTGGGCCAGGCCTTCTTGGGCCTTTGGGAACCTGTTTGGCCGTCTTACGTTCCTGGCCCGTCTCACGCCGTCGGAAGGCGTCTTGGGAGCTTGTCTGGGCCGTCTTGGGGCCGTCATTGGGTTCTTCAGGGTCGTCTTGAAGGCCATCTGCGGCGGTTCTGAGGCTGCTTGGGCCATCTTAAGGCCCTTTGATGACCGTCTTGGGAGCCTTTTTTGTCGTCCTGGGGTCATCTTGAAGGCCTATTGGGCGATCTCGTGGCAATCTTTGGGGCCTCTTGGGCCGCATGGGGCCGTGGGAAGGCAGTTGTGAAACAACTGCCTAAACCTTTGAACACACACACACAGGAACATCAGTGATTTGGGCGTCTTCGGGCCTTCTGGAGGACCTCTTGGAGGTCTCTTGGGCCTTCTTGAAAGCCCCTTGGGCCGCCTGGAGGTCATCTTCGCCCGTCTGGAGTGCATCTTGGGCAGTCTTTGGTACACCTGGCTGCAATATTTGGCTTTCTTCGGGCCGCCTTGGCCGTCTTAGAGGCCTCGCCGTCTTCGAGACCATCTTGTCACAGCGACTTTCTCCGCACATCCACAAACCCCCTGTGACCATTATTTCCTTCTACAAAAAACAAACAGATTTTAAAAGGATGCCGCGTCGGCGCCGCGGCCTCCGAGATGGCCCAAAGATGATCTTCGGGCCATCTCGGAGGGGAGAACCGACGGGCCGCACCCCTCCTGGCCTTTCGGGTGGCCCGGCGGGCGGGGCCGAGACCCCACGCGGAGTTCTTTAGAGAAAAGCATGCGAACCTGCCAGGCGTTCGGTCTGCCCTGCGCCCCTGTGGCAAGGCCGCACTGGGGCGGCGGATCGAAGACGCCTGCGGCGAATTGCCGCCGCCCCCTTCCCTTTGGGGGTACGCCCACGTGGCCAAACGTTTGGGCAAAGTTTGGCCAAGCTGTGCGGCCAGGCATTCCCCCCAGCCGTTGTAGAAGCCATTCGGGGAACACGTGGGTGAGGAGGAGGAGGAGGAGGAGGAGGAGGAGGAGGAGGAGGAGGAGGAGGAGGAGGAGGAAAAAGGAGGAAGAGAAGGATAAGGCGACTTACTAGAGGCTTCTTGGGTCATTCTTGGCGCCTCCTGGGGGCCTCTTTGGGCCTCTTTTGGTCCTTGTGGGCCTTTGGGGGCTTCCTTGGGGCCTTGTTGGTTGTTTTACGGCGTCCCTGGCCCGTCTGACGCCGCGGGAAGCCATCTTGGGAACCTCGCTGAGCCGTCTTGGGGCCGTCTTGGGGCGCTTCAGGGTTGTCTTGAGGGCCATCATGGACCTCTTGGAGGCCTCGCGGGCCGTCGTAAGGCCCTTTGATGACCGTCTTGAGAGCCTCTTGGGCCGTCCTGGGGCCATCTTGGAGGCCTCTTGAGCACTCTTGGGGCGATCTTGATGGCCTCTTGGAACTTCTTGGGCCGTCAGAAGCCCGAAACGGAGCAAAAGTCAACATCCGTCGAAACCCACGTAAAATCAATTATTAGGGCGTCTTTGGGCTTTTCTGTGGGTTCTCTTGGGGTCCTTCTTGGGCCGTCTTGGGACATTCTGAGGCCATTTTAGGCCGTCTTGGGTGCATCTTGGAAGGTCTTGGGAGCATCATGTGGGCCATTTGTGCCGTCTTGGAGGCGTCTTGGAGCCATTTTGGAGGCCATCTTGGCCGTCCTGGAGGCGGTTGAGCCCACGGAGTTCGGTTTTTCGGCGGATTGTGTGGCCTTCCAGGTGGCCGGCGCAATTGACCGAAGCCCCAGGGAGGGTCTCAAAAACCAAACAACACCTGCACCTCAGCACGCCAGGCACCCCTGCGGCAATTATAGGGTGGCGGTTCTAGTGGCCTCCGGCCCATTCTGCCACCGTGCCTAGGTCGTAGGTCATAGGTCTGAGGCCTCTTGGGTGCCTGTGGGGATCTCTCGGGAGGCCTCTCGGGAGCCTCTTGGAGGCGGTTTTGGGAGCCTCTTCGGGACCTCTTGGGGCTGATTTTGGCCTCTTGGGAGCCTCCCGTGGCCTCTTGGGGACGCCTCGGGGGTCTCTCGGGGGCTCTTGGGGCCATCTTGGGGCGGAAGGTCGACATGTCTCTTCGGGTTCCCGTCGCTGAAGCCCCTCTTGGGGCCGTCTTGGGGGCCTCTGGGCCGCCTTGGCCGTTTTGGAGCACCCTCGGTAGCTCCTCGCGCCGTACTTGGGGTCCAGGAGCTACAGTTCGGGACAAACGAGATGGGTGCGGAAAGAATGGGTACGCCGCCCAGCAGCAGTTCCTGTTCGTTTTGAACAAGGATCGCTGTCCGCGCCACCGCGGACGCTTTTCCCTGGCGACAAGAAGCCGCCTGCCCAACAGCGGCCAGTGTCGGTTTTGGACCGCTTTTTTTTGGGGGGGGGGGGCATGATGCAACTTTTTCCGTACCCATTCCGGGCGTCCCGAACAGTGAAGTCGCAGAGGAATGATGAGCATGTTTTTTTCCAGGGCCGCTCTCGCGGCCTGGGCCCCCCTCGGCCCCTCCTCGGCGACCCTCGCCGGCCCGCCCCTGTCCGACAGAAACGCTGGCGTGGCCGCCTCCAGGGCGCCCGGCGTCTCTGCCGCGCGCCCCTGCTCTGCGACCTGACGCTGCCCCTGCTCGGAAGCTGGAGCATACACATTACCAGTGGCGGGCTGTTTTGCAATCCCAGGATAGGGGGCCACATGCGAACCCTACCCCTACCCCCCACGATTTCCGAACGAAGTGAACCCCACCCTCCCCTTCAGAAATCGTGGGGGGTAGGGGTAGGGTTCGCATGTGGCCCCCTACAGAAGGGTCGGCGACGACGTCGGGGTGGTGTGGTGTATGCTTGTTTCCCCGTGTCGCCCGTGGAAGCCACGAACATGCATACACCCAAACCCGTATACGCCAGGATCCGCGTCCCTTTGCGAACCTCAGCGCAGGGCCAGAAAAAGCGCCGGTGTGTAGAGTTCGGCTCCTTACTGTCTGCGCGGCGCCGGCCGCCACTGTCGGGACCCCGGGTAAGGGGACCCGGTTAGTGGTAGGGCCCTGGGGCCCCTCAATTGGCCAGATTCATTAAACCAGGTCTCCCGTAGCAGGTATTTTTTCGGGTGACGGCAGTTCCGGTCAGTGGAATGGAAATGGGGCGGGGGGGCGCCCCCGGTACAAATCACTAAACCAGGTTCCACTAAACCCAGTTCGGGTCGGCACGACGCGAGCCCACCGCGCCCCGCTCCGCGGCGCGAGCGGGCGCGGCCCGCCCGCCCGCGGCCCGGTGGCCCCCGCGCCCGTCCGCGCGGGCCCCGCGGGGCGGCGCCCGCGCACGTCCGCGCGGGCTCCGGGCGGCGGCGCTCACAGAGGCCCCCCCGGGGGCCCTGGGCGCCCGAGCGGGCTCGGGGCTCGAGGCTCCGCCGGCGGGCGGGCTCGCCGGCTCGCTTGTGGCGCTCGCTCGCGGCCTCGGGGCGCCCTCCCCCGCCAGACGCGCTGCTGCAGGCAGGCGCGCTCTGAGCAGAGGTCCGGGGGCCAGACCCCCTCCCCCCCCCCCCCCCCCCCTTCTGCCCAATGTCGAAGCGCCGCGGGCCGTGTCCATCTGAGACAGAAGGCCGCCTGCCCGACAGCGGCCGCTGTCGGTTTTTCCCATACTCACTTCGGGCGCCCAAACACGAGGCAGTGGCGCGAGGAGGGGGCTCTTGTGAGAAGCAGGCGGAGGTATGGACAGGCCCACATCTCCTGGATGTGCCCAGGTGTCCCTGGGATCCGGAGCCGGGCCGCCCCCCCCCCCCCGGGCCCCCCTCCAGCGCACCTCTCGCCGGTGCCTCGGCGCGGGCCGCGGGCCCCGAGCCCTCTTTCTCGGGCCCCGCTCTCGGGGGGGCCGAGCTGGGCACGGAAACGGTGGGCACAACGCCCAGCAGCAGCTGTGGTTCACTCTGAAGAAGAACTCGAGGCAGGAAAAACACCATAAGCATAAACTTTCGACGCGCCGCGCGGATTACTGGGATACGCGCGGGTCCCCCCTTGGCGGCGCCTCCGGCGCCGACGCTGGCGCGCTCCGCGCGCCAGGGAGGGTGGTCCAGCGCAGATCCAAGAAATCCGCGCAGAGCGCCTAAAGTTAATGTTTATGGCGTTTTTCTTTTTCTATGAACAGGTTTCGCTGTCGGCGTCGCTGCGGGTGCTGTCCATATGAGACAGAAGGTCGGCTGCTTAGCAGCGGCCGCTGTCGGTTCTGGACAACACCTGCTGTTGGGGTCCGTGCCCGTGTCTTCCGTGCCCACTTCGGGCGTCCAAATGTTCTGGGCGGCCTCCTCGGGCGGCATCCCGCGGCATCCGGCTGCACAGTCGAAGCAGCAGCCCGGAGGGCAGGGAGAAGAGAAAAGAGACGGAGGACGCGTAAGGGGGGGGGGGGCGATCACCCTGACCTTCCAGAGTGCTCAAGAATGGTCCTCCAGACCTTTAGACTTATCTCTGGACTACTTCAAAACTCGGCAGGAGTTCTGTGTCAAGATTCTGGTGCTACAGTGCCGTTTTTAATACATGCTCCGCGTGCGGACCATGTATAAGAAATAAAGGGTTGATTAATACATACAAGGATGAGTTTATGCATACTTTTATTCATACATTAACTATGTATTGCAAATCCTATATATTTTTTAATCCAATGTATCAAAAAACTGCCCTGTATGTTTAGGCCCTCCAAGAAGATCAGGACAAGAGGGGGCAGCGAGGGCTGCCGAGGAGGGGCCCTTAGAGGCCCCTCAAGGGGCCCACTCGGGCCCCAAAGGAAATCTCTTAGGCCCGATAAGGGCACCTTTCCCAGGAGGGGGAAAAACAAACAGACACAATTAATCGTCGATCCCGAAGAGAATATGGGAAAATATGGGAATTGGGCGGGAAGACAGAAACCCAGGAAATATGGAAAAATATGGCGAATCATTTCATTTGTGTGTGTTTATTCGTGTGTCCTTGGGCCCCTTGACTTTCTCCTTCCCCGATGAATCGCTCCCTCCTTACGTCGCGCACCAAAGCGGCGCGCCGCCCCCCTCCCTCCCGGTGAGGCCCGGGCGTTGCATTTGTCTCACGCCGGGCGTTTCCTCCCAGCCTCGGGCCCCGGGGCCCTCGCAGAGGCGTGCAGGTCGAAGGATGCGGCAGGAAGAGGGGGTCTGCGGTGGGGGCGGTCCCGAAGGAGTACGCTCCGGAGGCTCCCAGACCCTGCAGGCATGATTCCTTATCTGATGACGTCGAGGAAGAAACATCGGCATAAACATGCACTTTTGGTGCTCCGCGCGGATATCTTGGATCCGCGCCTGGGCCGCCCCTCCGACGCCTCCGGCGCCGCGCCTGGCGCGCTCCTCGCGCCAGGGGGGGGGGGTCAGCGCAGATCCAAGAAATCCGCTTGGAGCGCCCAAAGTTTGTGTCTATGCCGTTTTTCTTTCTGTTTCTGTGGAGGCGGCGGTGATGTCCATGGCCAAGCCTGAATTGGCGTTCCACTAGCTCCCAGGCCCCAGATCTCTTGTCCGAGGCCTCCTCGTCGAGTGCCTTCGCCGCCGGGCTCCGGTCGTGCTCGCGAGGCCGCGCCTTCTTGACAGCGTCGGAGGTCTCGGGGCCTGGGCGGCCCGAGGGGAGGGAGCGCGGGGCGGCCGCACGAGCGGTCGGGGGGGGGGCGGCGTGGGCCTCGGCGTCCCCCGCGTCGTGGGCATGGAAAGAAAGCGCTGTGCTCTTGGCCTGAGGCTCGCGGAGGGGCAGCGAGCGCGATCTGTGCTTCACTGGGGCGACGGGGGAGGGTCAGGAGGGGAAGAAACATACAGACACAATTGATCCTCGATTCCTCGGAAAATATGGGAAAATATGGGAAGTGGGGGGGAAGACAGGAACCCAGAAAATCTGGGACAATATGGGGAATATTTTTATTTGTGTGTATTTATTTGTGTGTCCTGGGGCCCCTTCAGAGAGGGCGATGCTTTTGCAGGGCAGGAGCAGGCCTGAGCAGCCCACGTCGTCGGCAAGAGCAGACCTGAGCTCAGAGCTTCTCGCGGAGGGCGGCTGTGAGGATTGCTGTTGACCGATGAGGCGCGCCCGGCGAGCGTACGGGGATCTGGCCCTGGGAACAACGCTGCCCCCCAGCGACCTTCAAGCTCTTGACAGTGTGCGGCCTTCGGGGGGTCCTGCTGGCCTCAGGACTTTCGAAGGACGGCTCGGGCTGGAAAGCAGTTCCTGACCTGTGGGAGCCACGGTGTGAACAGAAACACGACAGCGGATGACTGGGTGTGGGCAGGGGAACGGGGAGGAGGGGGGATGAGCAAGTAGGAAGGAGGGGAGGGAGGGATGGAGGGATGAGATGGAAGAGTAAGGGATGAGGAGGAGGAGGAGGAGGAGGAGGAGGAGGAGGAGGAGGAGGAGGAGGAGGAGGAGGAGGAGGAGGAGGAGACGGGAGGAGGGTTTGGAGGAGGATGACAGAGCAGGAGGAGTTGAGGGGAGAAGGGACGAAACAGTCACGACGTCAGATGTCGGGGTAGGCGGGGTGTCCATCACGCGGAGGGGGGGAGGGCCCGGGGAGGGGTAGACCCGGTAGAGAGCGCTGTCTGGCGCACCGTCGGTCAATGTCATCACGCGCTCAAGCGTTCGTTCTCATTGCTGGGTGTTGTCGTCGTCGTCGTCGTCGTCGTCGTCGTCGTCGTCGTCGTCGTCGGGTGTCATCGCCGTCCTCGCCGTCGTCGCGTCGGGTGTCAATGTCCTCGGCGGCGCCATGCGTCGTGGCCGACGTCGCCGCCGCCAGCCCTCCGGGACACGACAGCGGACGACGGCGCCGTCGCCGTCGCGCAGCCCCTGTCCCCTTGGGGCGACGACGAAGTCTGTACAGATCCACTGCTCCCTGGCCAAGCCCATCCTGAGCCCAGGGGCTGTGTATACGCCCTCCCAGGGCTCGTTTCGACTCCTTCGATGCGATTCGATTCGATTTCGATGGCTTCTGATTCCGATTCGATTCGCCTCGGGATTCCGATTTGGGTTCCGATTACTAGCCTGCCGATTTCAGCCGATTCGATTTTTCCCGACTCGCCTGCCGACTTCCGCCGATCCGTTTCATTTCGATCGCCGATCCGACTCATCGATTCGATTCTGGGCTCTCCTGCCCTCCTGGCCAGCCCAGGAGGGCGTGGCGCATACACCGCTGCTGGGTTCGGGATGGGCCTGGCCAGGGAGCCGTGGATCCTCGGTATCCATCTCGTCGCCCCCCCCGCCTGCCCTCGTCGTCCCGAGCTCCCTGCGCGCCGCCGCCGCCGCGACGCCTCCCGCACCGCCGCCAGCCCAAACTGCTCGAACCAAAAAGAAGAACACAACGGCACAAACATAAGCTTTTGGCGCTCCGCGCGGATCTCTTGGATCCGCGCCTGGGCCCCCCCTCCCTGGCGCGCGGAGCGCGCGCCAGGGGCGGCGCTGGAGGCGCCGCCGAGGGCGTGACTTAGCGCGGATCCAGGAACTCCGCGCGGAGCGCCAAACGTTCATGTGCACACCGTCGTGTCCTCTTCGAGAACCGCCGCCGCGAGGTCGGCCCACCTCTGGAGCGGCCCGCGCGTCCTCCCGTAGGGGCAGCCATGCTCTCCCGGGCCCTCGGCTCGCTCGCCTCCCGCGGCCCGGCGCTGGGCCGCGCCGCGGCGCGGCCGGCCCTGGCGGGCACCGCCCGCACGGTGACGACCTCGAAGGTCGGCGGCTACGAGGCGCCCCGCGGGGCCCCTTCTCTGTCTGCCTCGGTCTCGGTCTTTGTCTCTGTCTCTGTCTGTGTCTGTCTGTCTCTGTCTCTGTCTCTGTCTGTGTCTGTGTGTGTGGGTGTCTCTCGCTTTCCGCTGTCTCTCTCTCTCTCTCTCCCTCTCCTTCTCTCCCTGCCACTGTCGCCGTCTCCCTCTCACTCGCCTCTCTCTTTTCTCCTCCTCCTCCTCCTCCTCCTCCTCCTCCTCCTCCTCCTCCTGGGTGATGCTCTCGATCTCTTTCTGTTTCTCTCGCTTTTGATTTCTCTGTGTTATTCTCTCTTTCTCTCTCTCTTTCCTCCTCTTCCTCCTCCTCCTCCTCCTCCTCCTCCTCCCGTATGTTCTGCCTCAGGCCTTCTCGCGCTCCTCCTCAACGTTGCTCGGGCTCAGACCTGTGCTCGAAACGTCTATTCCTCCTCTCTCTGCGGTCAACATGGCGGAGTGGCGCGACGGCAGGGCAGAGGGGGTGAGCGAGGCGAAACGCATCGAGAGCGTGCCGCGGCCGCGCGGGTGGCCGAGTCCGCACTCCATGCGATGCCCATCTCCGATGCCGCCGACGGGCGGGCGGCCGATGCCTTCGGAAACGGGTCGAGCCCTCACCCCCGCCAGCACACGCCTCCGCCGGGCCAAGGGCAACCTGCGCCAGGAGGAGGCGGACCCGTTCGCTGACCCCGACGACGAACATTCGCTCGACGCCGCGGTGCCCGTGGGCCCGCCGTGCGCCGCGGGCCCTCGGGCCGCCGTCGGCGCGCGGGTGGGAGAGCGCGAGCCGCCGCTGCTGGGGCAGCGTGGGCGGGGCCGCAGCCGGCTCGAGGGGCGGCGCGGTGGCCCGGGCGAGGACGGGGGCAGCCCTGGGAGCACGCGCTCGCCCCGCCCCCGAGCCAGGGGCAACCGCGCGACCGCTCCATGGAGGAGGACCACGCCGGGCAGCACCGACGCGGTGGCCATGCCGCTGCGGGCGAAGGAGAAGCGCCGCTCGCGCGAGGAAATCAGTCCCTTCTGGGGGCGCGGCAATCAGTGCGGGATGGGGTCTCCCAGGAGCGCCCTCAGCGGCGAACGGCCGAACAGAGACGCAGACAGAGGAAGGAGGGCAAGCAGGCCGTAGTCCTCTTTGCCAGCATCACGGAGTTTGGGCCCCACGCGGCCAAGTTCCTTGCTGAACGAGGCAAGAACGAGTACAAGGCCATTGCTTTTGTTGAGACGCATATCAGCCCTGCCCAGCTCGCCGAGGCCCAGATCGCTCTGGGCAAAGACGGATGGAACGTTGCGGGTTCCCCAGCCACAGCTTCAGGGAAGTCCTCGGCGGGCAGATCTGGAGGTGAGATGTGGTGCCTAGACAAGACCTTCGCGGCGACGATCTACGAGGCGCATCGGCACAGGCAGCTGCAAGCCACGGGGAAGGAGGTGTTCTGTGGGTTCTGCCCCGTGGTGGTCCACCTCAAGGAGGGCAACGCGTCCTCGTTGCCATGAACTTCCAACCTGGCCTCAAGTTTGATGGGGTCAACCGCGCCTGGCTTGTGGTGGTGGGAAGCTTTGTGGCCACTCTGTGCAACCCCGGGGTCATCCTTGCGGATTGGAACCTGGGGCCCGCCGACTGGAACAAGAGTGAGCGGCTTGGCAAGACAAGCGGTGCGGTGGTCACTCCGACCAATGCTGCAAGCACGTGCGACACAGGCAAGGGCCGCATGTACGACTACGCCGTCGCCGCGTGAGGCTGGCACCATCGCCTTCAGCTCAAGGCCATCTTCGACGTGCCGTGGAAGACCCACTGCGGCATAGAGGTCACCATCCAGGGGTCGGGCCAGAAGTGGCACCACGACGAGCTCTACATGGCCCGCAGCTTCCCCACCAGAGAGAGGCTCAAGCAGGCAGCCCGCCCTGACAGCAAGACCTCCAGATGCAAGGGTGTTTCTCGGGTTTCGATCGTTTTTGCTGCGGGAAGCGTGACGTTCCCACACCAACAATCGATGGGCATCCTGGGGTCTCAGGGTCGGGTATCTTGTGGTAGGTATCTTGTGGTCTAGCTCCTACTGTAGGTGGAAGCATCCACGCGGTGTCAGAAGCCGACGCCGAAGTCGCCACGACACGAACCTGCCGTACCTCCCGCCCCCCTCCGCCCACTCGGTAGCAAATCATGGGAGCCTTCTTAATTCCGTCTTCAGCGTCGACCAGCGTCGAATAGCGTCTGGGAGTCGCTTAGATCGCGCCGATTCAGCGTCGGTCAGCGTCGAGTTAGCGTCGAGCTAGCGTCGACTAGCGTCGATTTGGCGTCGCGCAGCGTCGATTCGCACAGGCGGGCAAGACGGTCCGGGAGGCTCCCGTGAGTTGCCACCGAACGCCCAGAGGTGTTCGACCACAGCTACGACGCGGTCGTCATCGGGGCGGGCGGCGCGGGCCTGCGCGCGGCCGCCGGCCTCGTGGGCCACGGCCTGAAGACGGCGTGCATCACCAAGGTCTTCCCCACGCGCTCGCACACGGTGGCGGCCCAGGCTCGTTGGGGAGCGACAGAGCGGCACGGTCGGAGTGGATACGTGAAAGAGTGGGGACGAAGACCGGCTGTCTTTTCGAGCAGTGACGAGGCGTTTAGGAGGCTTGCCAAAACCCCATCAGAGAATGTTCCAGAAGGACCTGTAATAGTTTGCACGACATGTTTTTGAACATTTCTGGTTGAGACCTTCTTGTTTCAATACATCGAGTCGATGCTCTAAGAACATGTTTTTTTCTTCGATCGTTTCTTCTGGGTTGTACGAACATGTCGTTGTAGGCACATAGGAATGCCGGGACTGTCGGTCCCTGCTCAAGTCTTTGTTCACCTTGAACAGGGCTCGCTGTCGGTTTTGAGCAACACTTGTTGTTGGGCACAGTACCCATTTTCCGCACCCATGCCGGGCGCGCAAACACAAGGTCCGTACAATTTTGATAGTAATAATGCTTCAAAAAGAAATGAGAAAACTATTAGTAGTACTAGGTAGAAGAAGACGAGTATTAATGATAAGAAGACGCGTAAGCACGAATCTCTCTCTCTCTCTCTCTCTCTCTCTCTTTATTTATATATATATATATCCCTCTCTCTCTATATATATATATATATCTACACATATATGTGTATGCTTGGGGATGTCTGCGCTGTTTTCTTTGCTCGGCGCTGGGCTCCTCTAGAAGGCGTCTCCGCAGCCTCGGTACGGTCGGAATGGGTATAGTCAATTCGCATCCTTGGCCACCTTCGCTGGCCGCGCCCCTCTGGGAGGGTGTCGACATGGCCCTGTCATGCATCCTTGTCGTACGCCTCGACTGTGTTTGCTGAGATTGTCGGGCCCATGCTGCCCAGGGCCCGCTGTGGGTGCCGCCGCTTCCCCACGCGCTCGCACACGGAGGCGGCCCGGGCCCGAGGGTCAAGTCTCGCCATGGATCGGGCGTCTCGTGATGGGTGGGCGGCAGATGAGGGCGGGGGATTCGGGGGTTGCAGGGACGGGGCCCCAGAAGGGCCCTAACCCGGAGCCCCCCCTGGGGCCTCGAAGGTGCACACGAAAGGTGCGCATTCCCGCCCCCCCCTCCCCGTCCCGCCAACCCCTCCCGCAACTCCCCCCCCTCTCTCCTCCTCCTCCTCCTCCTCCTCCTCCTCCTCCTCCTCCTCCATCCTCCTCCTCCTCCTCCTCCTCCTCCTCCACCTCTCCTCCTCCTCCTCCTCCTCCTCCTCCTCCTCCTCCTCCTCCTCCTCCTCCTCCTCCTCCTCCTCCTCCTCCTCCTCCTCCTCCTCCCCCCCCCTGGCCACCCCCAGGCCCAGGCCCGAGGGGGCCAGGCATCGCCAGGAGAAGCAGGCTGGCCCTGGAGGAAAAACTCGAGAGGGGAAAAGAGCATATCGCCCCACGAAGCAGGCGGGTCATTTGGGGGAAGCTCGAGGGAAGAGGCACGCAATGGCCATGTCCACGATGTCGCCGGGTGTCGTGTCGACGCCCGTGGTGGCCGTCGCCGGCTCGCGAGGATGATTTGTTGCGATCTCATGATAGCCAAGATTGACGATCACCGAGGTCGGCACCGACGTTTCCACGTTCGTGCTGGTCATGGCTCTCTTTTTCTATCCCTTCAGAAACGGGGCCCTGTTTTTGGTGTCGTTCTCGAGCTCCCAAAGTCCTCCACGGGCCCCAGGATCATCGACATTACAAGATCCCTAACACTGATAATACAAAGAAGACGTAGCCTAACTCGGCTCCCCGTCCTTGCACCACATCAGGGATTCGCAATCCGGGTGGTTCGCCTTGCTCGACCTGCTGAAAAAAAAACCCTCTCCCCAATGTCCTGGGCCTCTTGCTTCGGGTCCGCTCCCGGAGGGTCAGGGGTCCTTCACCCCTGTTGATTGGTAGTCCCCAAGCGTGGTGGTGGCAACACCCGGCGGTGAGTCCCAGGCGATGTGGTGCCACCACCCAATTTGGCGACTTGCGTGCTTTTGCGAGGATGATTCGAACGCTGGTGGGTCCAGGAGTCGCCCGGAGCCCGGCGGTGACCCTGTGTCCCAGAACCCGGCGGTGTTTTTTGGGGGTTTCCAGGTCACCACCTGATACCTCACCTTATGATGTTCCACCTTACTTTAGCCTTCGTCACCAGAAAGAGAAGTTCGAGCACCCAAAAAGTACCGAAACTCGCGGGATGTGGTCCCTCAGTGCGATGGGAGCAACACGCAAACCTCACCACCTGGTCCTTGGGGGCTCCCAAGCTGCTTGCAGGATTGGCCAGCGCCGGCCCTGGCACGAGAAGCTGGCTCCCGGGGGGGGGGGGGTCAGGAGGGGAAAAAAACACACACACACACAGACACAATTAATCGCCGATTCCCCAGAAAATATGGGAAAATATGGGCAGTGGGGGGGAAGACAAACATCCAGACAAATATAGGAACATATGGGGAATATTTTGATTTGTATGTATTTGTTTGTGTGTCCTTGGGCCCCTTCAAGGGGGGAAGGGGGGGGGAAGGCAGCTCCGCGCCCCAGGGCCCGCGGTCCCCCGCGGGGCCCGCGGCCCCCCCGCGCTGGCAGCAGGCAGCCTGCCCGCCGCGGCCCGCAGATGGTGACGCCCTGCGTCCTCCCGCCTCCTCTGGCTCCGCCCCGGGCAGGCCCTCTCGCGCTGCGACAGAAGCCGCGACGGGAAGCTTTTCGCTAGTGTCGGCCTTTTTGGGGCCCTTGCTGGCCCTCGCGGCTGTCAAAGCACGCCTCAGGAGGAATCGAACCGGTCCTGGGGAAGGGGTCCAGGCCTTTAGGGGGCGGCGTGTGAAAAAATCATGACGTCGGGGGTCCGGGTCCCTCCCCCCGTGCCGCGTGGACAAACTCTTGGCAAGATGCCAGAGCACGGTCTGCGCCGCAGCACACCTGAGCACGCCGCGCGAGTGGCTCGTGGATGACGCTGGAACGCGCTGGCTCTGGTAGTGGGCCACATGCGAACCCTACCCCTACCCCCCTCAGAAATCGTGGGGGGTAGGGGGGTAGGGGTCGCATGTGGCCCTCTGTCTGGAACGAGAACGAGAGCTTTGCACCAACGGGGCTCTGGAGCCAGGACGAGCCGGGCCGCACGTTTTTCCTGGTGCGCTGGCGCTCTGGCGCCGCGCCCGCGGCATCCCAGACGGTGCCCACGTGCGGGGGCGTTCCGTGCCTCGTGCCCTCCCCCCCCTGCATGTGGCTCAATCGGCGGCTCGGGAGGACAGGTGGGTGGATCAGGCAGGTGGGCGCCTCCTCCTCCTCCTGCTGCGCCACGGCGTGACCTTCCCCAGTTCCAGCCGGGCCTCACCGCGCAGGGGGACCCGTAATTATCTGTGTCCCCGGCTCCCCTCCCCGCTCCAGGGCGGCATCAACGGAGCCCTCGCCAACATGACCGAGGACGATTGGCGCTGGCACGCGTACGACACGGTGAAGGGCTCCGACTGGCTGGGCGACCAGGACGCCATCCAGCACATGTGCAGGCTGGCACCGGAGGCTCCGGCTTCCTTTCCCGCGGGGGGGCACGATAGTGGTGGTGTTGGGGGGCGCGCGACGCCTGCAGATCGTTTGTATGTTTTGGGTGACGCCGATGTCTCCCCGCCCCCCGCAGAGGTGATCCTGGAGCTCGAGTCCTTCGGCCTGCCCTTCTCCCGCACCCCGGAGGGCAAGATCTACCAGCGCGCCTTCGGAGGCCAGAGCCTGAAGTTCGGGAAGGGCGGCCAGGCCACGAGGGAAGGGGCCGGGGCGAGGAGGGTGGAGGGGGGAGGGGGGGAGCAGGAGGGGAAAGGGGGGGGGATGTGGGAGGGGTTGTATTAGGATAGGAGGAGGAGAGTGCGGTAGGGGGGAAGTAGGTTGATTATAGGAGGAGGTGAACAGTAAATTATAAATGGCTTGGGGGGTGGGTCCAAGAGGGTGCTGCGGGGACTCCAGGGATGCTTGGAAGGTGCATCAGGCTCTGCCCAAGAGGACGCTGCTTTTCTTTCACGACGCGAGGATGTCAGGTTTTCGGGCCATGACTCGGTCGTCTGGCAGACGATGAGGACGATTCGGCCCCCCCCGAACGTTCTCGACGAGCCGCAGCTGCTGGAAGGCGTCCTGGGGCGAGAAGACTCAAGAACAATTATGATCATACAGTTCTCCGAGGTGTCTAGCGATATTCCACTTGCTTACGCTTGTGGTCGTGACCTTCGACGAAGTCTCAAACGAGAATTCCTCTCTGAAAAAGACAGGCCACGACTTCTGGAGCCGTAAGTCGATGCTGGACACTCTCTTCCATCCTTCTAAATGTTTCGCTCAGGAAACGAATATGCGGGGCCTTCTGGCGAGAACACCATTTCGAAAACGACATGCGCTCGATTCTTCATCATTTTCACCCTTTTGAAGCGAATCGGCGCGGCGCCAGCGCGATAATACCATTTTGACAAGCACACGCCCTCAATCATTGGAACTCTTGCATGCTGTTCTGACGAATGTGCACGGCGCTGAGGCGACAGTCACATTTCGAAAACGC